CCCCGTCTCAATGTCCAAGCAATCAGCAAAGCGACAGGTCCTGACCCCGCCCTATCTCAATGTCCAGACAATCAACAAAGCGGCAGGTCCTGACCTCGCCTTGTCTCAATGTCCAGACAATCAGCAAAGCGGCAGGTCTTGGCCCCGCCCTGTCTCAATGTCCAGACAATCAGCAAAGCGGCTGGATCTGTCAGAAGACCTCATCTCCAGCCCCATTCAGATCATCGCATGCAAACATCGTGATTTTTACCACAGACAGATGAATTAACATGCATAGTAGATTACCATTTTTGGTTTAGTTAAAGTCCTGAAAAAAAAACAAGAAACAAACATATACACAAGTCAAAGTCAGAGAGATCAAACACCAGGTTTATATAAATAGAGGTTTATTGGGATAGCTAAAGGTATCGTGCCGGCCTAACTCTGAGTTCCCTGCCTCCAGAGTCCCGCCTGGGCTCCGGCAGAGCTCCCGCAATCGGTGGGTCGACCTCCCACAAAGGCCTTGATGCGGTCCTACGGGTTGCAATCCCGCCTGCCGTCTTCCTCTCCAAACACAGACTAGACTGAGAGGAAGAAGGGTATAAGAAGAAGAGTTAGACGCTCGAGATATGAAAAGGGCCCAACTCAACTCACACGAGAGGGCCTTGGTGCCTTCAGATCCTGAGGGCCCCGCAATGGCAGCCAGTCGCATGCGTCCGTGTCAACAGGTGGCCGATGTCGCAGCAAAATCTCAACTCCAACAGCAACAGGTACCCACGGTCTCAAGATCAGCAGCAACGGTCTTTGATTGAAGTAGCTTTGCTCGACAAGACTACAGACTGCGATGCTGTAGGTGGCAATACGGCTTCCCGGCTGTTGCAACAGCAACCTACCGAGGAGGTCAGCAGCAACACCTGAACATATTGCCGAAGCAACAATTTGGTGCGCTGTAGCAAGTGTGTAGTGGCTCGGCAACAACAGTCAGTGGTTTAGCAGCCGCAACAGCTAGAACGTCGCAGTAGCATCAGACCCACAACAAGGCAGCGTACACAATAGTGAGATAACCACGGGGCTAACAACGCTGCAAAGGCACATCAACGCTGTACACTTGGTAGTTTTGACTGCCGGCAACAACAGTAGTTCCTTCAAATCTGACTGTCGAACTCCACAGGCTAACCGTAAGTGCAACCTTTCAACTGTGTAATAAGGCTTAACACTCCTAGTAGCCTCAGAAACACGGCAACTAGATTAGCAACTCCTCAACTCTTGTTACTTCCCTTGACAACAAGAACTCCAATGCAGCGCCTAGTTGTGCGATAAAAATTGGCAGAGGCACTGCGTTTGCTGCTGCACTACACAGCAGCGCCCTGACGGCACGGCAGTAGCTCTTAGATCGTTAGGGACTCTTCCATAGCAATTCACTAGTATAGTGACAATAACAAACTACACCATATGGTAGTAACCTTCATCAAAAGTGTGTCAGCCTGTTCCCTTACAGCCACTATCACCCCAAGGATAGAGTGGCAGCAATCTGCCTAACTCGCAGTACCAAGCTCCTTCCAACAGTTGCCGTCTTGCCCCACACCCAACTCAGACTGTGGCAACCAAGGTCCTGATTCAACCGGATCAACCAGACAACTCATCTCACTAACTAAGAACGACCATGCAATGCCTTCCCGAATGCCGACTGAGTGTTCCCTTCTCCGCCGGCGCTCAGCGCCCAGACTCTCAGCCACATAGCCATTCGAAACTACACTACTGATGAGTGAAGCACCCCCCCCCCCCGTTGTCAGTAGCAGCAACCGAAGTGTATGCCTTCGTCGACCATGCAGACTGCCGCGGTGACCAGGTCCATGTCCCGACATCAGTTGGAAAACACAACTAGGTTCAACAATCGGACTTACCAAAGCAGCAGCATGCAGCGCAGCAGCCACCATCAGCCACGTCATTATCAAGACGAGCCTGGAAGCAACGAACCCTGTCCTCTAGGCGTGCACATTGAGTTTGAATATGAACACAGTAGATGCCACAACGAATTTGTACCTTCCTGCTAGTAAGTGGCCGGGTTCATTGCTCTAACTGAGACGAGCTTGATGATGAAAAATGAGACCTCGATGTGGACTATAGTAACGAACATGAGGCTAAGCAGTGTCTGGGTGGAGATGCCCACCCCGACCATGTACTACGGCTATGCTGGCCAAGATAAAGCTGAGGAATACATTGGCGTCAACCAGGGCAAGAAGTAGCACGTTGTAGCGGACCCACCAGGTGTGGTGCTCCGCCAATGACAGAGATGAAGATGGAGGAAGAAGGGGGGGAGCAAGATGCACAACGCAGCTCCCCACGCAAGACTCCAACGCACGTACTCCGAAATGTGCAAGTGAAGAATGAGGACGAAAAACAGACAACTGTTGGGGTATACCCCAACGGCTGACAGGACTGGACTGGACTGGCTGGTACCGACAAAGGTACCGGCCTGGACTGGACTGGACTGCCCCCGAATAGAACACAGGCCTTTGAGAACAGGCCAAGGGGCTGGTCTCACAGGCCAACCAGAGGTCCGCTACACGATCCTCGGCCTGTGATGGATCGCCTAGATGCAAACACGCTTCCGCCAAGAAGCGGAACTCTACCAAAGAAAAAGAAAACCTAAGTAGTCTAAGATGCGGAGCAAGCTCCATGCTGAGTCCATGCGATGCAACCTATGATAGAAAATGTCACAAAACAGCAATGCCACAGCTAACAGCTTAAGTGAAAGCAAAAGCAACTAACTAGCATACATGTCCTAGGAAAGCAGAAACAACTAACTAACATACATGTCCTAGAAAAGCAGAAAGTAGTGTCAACTAGATCCTAGAATGTTGGAGGCAGTAGCCTCAGTCTGGGAACAACTGACTAGTGTATAAGTCCTAAGAATGGCCCTAGTCTGAGAGCAACAAAGCAACAACAAGTCAACCATATGTCACAGGAGAAGTGTGTCGCAAACCAAAGGGTGGGATGGTCTCTCAGGGTGGCGAATGCAGCCTAGGGGTCGAAAGCTCCTAAGGGCATCCACACATAGTGACAGGGGAAAAACATGTCATCAGGCTCAATGAGGGTAGGGAACTGGGAACGAACAGAACCAATGACCCTAACAGATAGACCATCAGGGCGGGTAATGCTCGACTAAGGGGTGACCGCTATGAAGGGTCGACCATGCAAGGGAACAATGGAGCCTGGTATACTGGGCGCACCTAGATGAAGCATGCGGGGCTGCCTAACTAGGGCGTGAGGGCCGACAAAGGGTAGAAAGATGATGGGTAAGGGAATCATGCAAATGACTCCTAAAGTGAGGGAAGTCGGAGCTAGATCCGTAAGATGGGAAGCCACGACAACGCTACGGTCCCGATGCCTATGCGTATACCAAGGGAGAACCCAACTCAGAGGAACCCAGCTAAAGGGAGACCATCATGCGACACAAGCAGGGTACTGTACACGGTAAAGTAGTAAGAGAGTGGCGACGTCTGAAGTAGGCAGAGTTGATCGTGACGAAGTCCATGAAGCGACCGATGACGTCCACGATGAGAAGTCAAGAATGCCGTAGAGGAAGAGCCGCAACGTTGATGAGCTGAAGTAGAAAAACTGAAGTGGATGGCGTACTGGAAAGTCAAGGACGTGGGAAGGTAAGTCAGAGTCAATCGTCGTATCGAGCAGGCCGACGACGAGTGCGCTGTGGACGCTCAGAAGCATCCGGCTGCTGCTGAAGGTCTGCCTCAGATGGAGCAGGCTCGACTTCAGCGGTCTCCTCAGCCGGGGAGAAGGAGGAGGGTCAGTGGACTGAGGAGGAGCAGTGAACCCAGCACGACGAGCACGGTCATAGGTACGCACCAACATGCGAGCGTGTTGCAAGTGCTCGAGGGGCTCCCAGGTAGCCTCCTCATCAGGGTAACCCTTCCAACGTACGAGATACTCGACGTGGGGAGGGTTGTCATCGGTGACTCGGCGACCAATGGTGTCTGAAACGAGGAACTCCTCGTCGTCGTCCACCATGATGGGTTGAGGGCGCCTGTATGGTCGTCCGGCGAAACGCTCAGACGGTCTGCGGTGAGGACGCAGTAACGAGACGTGGTAGACATCGTGCACACGAGTCTGGCGTAGGTAGTCGGGCAGCTTCACACGGAAGTTGACCGGGCTAGATGCCGTATCAGAACCGACGGCGTGGAGGATGCGGCATGGTCCACAGAAGCGACGCCGAAACTTGCAAGCGTGTCCGCTTCGAGCTGTAAGTGGCGGGCGTCGATAAGCACATCATCACCCACTTTGAATGGATGATCCATCCTCGATCGGTTCGCACGTGCTGCCATGCGAGTCTGGGAAGCGACTATGTGCTTATGTGCAGTCTTCATGATCGACGTCATGTGTGCAACCCAATCATCCAGCGCGGGACAACTCGTGTCGGGGTGCGTCTATGACGGTCGAAGGAACTCCGCGGGAACACGAGGGTGATAGCCGAGGTCGCAATAATAAGGCAACATCCCCGTGGGTGGCTAGACGACGTGGTTGTAGGCTATCTCCGCGTGGGCAAGATGGAGGTCCCATTGCTGCTCGTCACGAACAATCTTTCGGATAATATCTCCAAGAGTCCTGTTCGTGATCTCGGTCTGACCATCAGTCTGAGGATTGTAAGACGAGGAGAAGCGGAGCTGAGTGTCGTACACCTCGTGGAGCCGTCGCCAGAATCGGCTGGTAAAGTGCGGGTCACGGTCAGATATGATGCTCAGAGGTAAGCCGTGGTCACGCACAACTCGGTCAAACACGATGTCGGCGACATCACGTGCACTGATGGCATAGCGGCACGGAACAAAGCGTGCACGCTTCGTGAAGCGGTCGACGATGACCAGGATAGCATCATGACCACGAGGGGTCGGAGGACGAAGGGGACCGATAAAGTCCATCGAGATGGACTGCCAATGACCCTCAGGGATAGGAAGAGGCTGGAGCAAACCATAAGGCAAGTGGTTCACACTGTTCACCTCCTGACAGGTGGAACACTCTGCGACGTAGTCCTTCACAAAGTCCTTACGCTTCGGCCAAACGTACAGACGGCTCACACGAGCCAACGTCTTGTGGAAGCCCATATGACCGGCGGCTGCCTGGTCATGGAACTCTGCTACTGCGCGGACACGTAGCTGTCCAGTGGAGGGAACGCAAATACGGGGCTCTCTGGTGCTCTGTGAACTGTGCCAGTACACAAGACCGTTGTCCTCGAAAGAGTAGTTCGGGACGGCCTTACTCCGAACGGTCGCGTGGATGTCGCGATAGTCGGGGCAGTGGCGGTACTGAGTGCGAAACTCATCGATCACCGAGTGGTGGACAGTGGTGACCGAAATGGAAGAGAGCTGGATCTGCTCCTGGTCGTGGTCAGGGCGTCGGGATAAGGCATCTGCGACCCGATTAGTCCCACCCTTGATGTGCTCAGTGGTGAAACTCAACTCGGATAGGTCGCGCCACCAGCGAGCCTGTCGAGGAGTGAGCTTCGGTTTTGTCAGAAAAGCCTGGACAACCGAGTTGTCCGTGCGCACCGTGAATGGTGCCCCGTGCAGGTAGTGACGCCAATGCCGAGCGTCATAAATTACTGCGAGAACCTCACGTTCATCAGCGGTGTAGTTTATCTCGGCGAGCAAGAGCTTACAGGTGTAGAAGGCTATCGGACAATCACCTAAGCGAAACTCGACAGTGCCGTCCTCGGCAATGGTAGGAGAATAGTCAATAGAAGGCTCGTCAGTAGCTGGACCAGTAAGCGTCAGTCGGGAAGCAGTGGTAAGGGTAGGTGGTGGGAAGCGAGGGATACGAAGATGAGAGGAATCACGAGAGGAGGGGAAGACCTGAGAAAGCACTGCTCCTACAGCAAAGTCTGACGCATCGGTGGTAAGGATAAAAGGGCGATCAAAATCGGGTAGGTGAAGAACCAGTGCGCATGTCACCGCCTTCTTGAGGGCGCAAAAGGCGTCCTCGTGGAGGGGTGTCCAAGCCCAGGGTGGGTTCTTCCGGAGGAGGGTGGAGGTAAGTCGTAGGAATACCTAGCGTATCTCTGGATGAAGTTACTACAATAGCATGTCAGGCCTAGGACGCTGCAAAGCTGCTTGGCGGATGTGGGAGCGGGCCACTCCGCAATAGCCCTGATCTTCCGGTCGTCCATGTGGAGGCCCTAGTCAGACACGTAGTGTCCTAAGAAATCCACTTTGTGCTGGGCAAAGCGGCACTTGCTCAGCTTGGCGTAGAAGCCATGTCTGGGCAAGCGGTCAAGGACGTCGCGGAGGTGTCTTAGGTGCTCCTCAAGGGTACAACGGTAGACCAGGATATCGTCGAGGTAGACGAGAACATATTGCTCCAGGATGTCCCTGAAGATGTCGTTCATCGCCCTCTGGAAGGTAGCGGGTGCGTTGGTGAGGCCGAATGGCATCACCGTGAACTCATAGTGGCCGGATCGCAATCGGAACGCGGCCTTCGGCTGGTCGGCTGCAGCAACGCGGATCTGATGGTAACCGCTACGAAGATCAATCTTCGTAAAGAAGTGGTTGCCTGCTAGGCGGTCGAATAGCTCATCGGAACGAGGCATGGGGTGGTTGTTCTTAACCGTGTAGCGGTTGAGACCGCGGTAGTCGATGCAGAGACGAAGAGTTTCATCTGCTTTGCGAGCAAAGAGGACGGGTGCACCCCACGGGGAGTTGCTGGGTTTGATGAAACCCAGTCTCTGGAGCTCCTCAAGCTGACGCTTGAGTTCGGTGGCCTCGGGGATCGAGAGTCTGTAGGGTGCCTGGTGGTGACCACGATAGTCGGGCACAAGCTGAATGGAGTGCTCGACGTCACACATCGGTGGGATGCCGGCGTACGAGAATGACGATGGGAAAACATCGTGGTACTATCGGATGAGGTCACGAACTGCAGGCTCCAGGTCAGCCGTATATCCGTGCGAGTTCCTCAGCGTCAGCGTCAGCGCGTGACGGCGGGGTGGACTCGACGGACGGCGGAGGGACGGAAGTAGAGACGGGAGCCATGGAGATAGAAGGAGGATCTGGCTCCAGAGGGATGAGCTCGGCGTCGGGACAGGGTGGATCATAGTGTAAGAGATCCGTCACGTTCACAATAAAGAAGGTGACGTCGTCCTGTCGGATGAAGTGGGCGAACTGCCGAGGCGAAGTGACAGTGATAGAAGGAGATGGTGTGGGCACGGAAGGCTCCGGGGGAGGAGGATCGGGGCGTGGTGTCACAGTGGTACCTATGAAAGGTACGCGATACGTCTTCCACACTTCGTTTTGAGAACGAGAGCGTTAGTCGCCCAATCGGCCCCGGTGCTGCGGAACCGACGAGACGACGAAGTGCTAAGAATGAAGTCGTACCCCGTCTCAATCACATCGAAATGTGCAGAGGAGCGGTAGCGACGAGACGCCGGGGGACGATCAGTCGACTCGAGGGTGAGGAAGAAAGGAAGGTCGGTGATCGTCTGATCGAAGAAGCGCTGGGTCTTGTCATCCCCTAGGGTGACAGAGATGGGAGTCGGAGACCCGGTCGTGGGTAAGCGGGCTTCTTTCACCACACGTGGGTGAATGAAGTCGCCCTGAGAACCGGAATTCCACAACGTTGAGTACACCCTCATGGAGGTCCCCAGCCATACGGGGATGATCGGGAGGGTGCGGTTAGGGTTAGAGAGGATGGTGAGAAGGCGACGGAGGACAGCGACATGGAGGGTGAGTCGCTCCTGACGAGCCTGGAGCATGCTCAAGTCCAGAAGAGAGGACACAACGTCCTCGCGAGTCGCAAGTTGCTCGCTGCAACGGGCTAAGCGAATGGCTCGACGCGTCGGTAGTCGCGGTGGGGAAGGAGGGGAGATGGTGGTCTGCGAAGGCGCAGATGGTACTGCGACAGAGGGTTGAGTACACTCTGTCGGATCCTGCGGGACCTCAACTCTAGTAGAGAGAGGGGCAAACTGGACGGGGATGTCGGGAAGACGACTACTGAGGAGGGCGCAGGTGTACACCGTGACTGCACCGTGGCTAGGAGGCGTCGTGGGGATGCGAGGCGCCAGGGGGGGACTGAGCACGACGCTGGCGGGAAAGGTCAGCATAGTGGCGGTCAAGGGCGGTGGTGTAAGGGCATCGCGAGGAGGTATGACCGTCCTGACGGCATCGCAAACATCCACGTCGACCCAAAATAGCCGCGCGCTCCTCAGCGGAAAGGACACCGCGAGGAGATACAAAGCCTTGAGGGAGGTCCTGCTGAGGGACCTCGGGGGGCGACCTTTCCAGCATGACCAGGGCGGTTGTGTGCCTGCGAAAGGGTGGAGAGGATGAGCTAAAGGCGCTCAGCCATAGAGAGAGTAGGGTCCTCCAGGTGGTGCTGGACGGCCTCGCCAAGGTTGAGGTCGTCGCTATGGTCATCCTCTGGCGACAGCGGGGCACCAACGTCCTGCTCACCATACTCGAGCGCCCTAAAGCGACACCAGAAGTGGCGGCCCTGCTGCGCGGAACGGCGGGGGCGACTGCGGAAAGGGGAATGGCGCTCGGAAGTGTCGTGAGAGGAGGAGGAGGCGTAACCAGTACGCTGTGGCTGGGAGGAAGAGGCGGGGTGAAGACGGGCCCGCATCCGCTGATGGTCCCGGGTGGTCTCGTAAGCCTGCGGGGCCGATGTGAACTCGTACTTCGATAGCTCGGAGCGGTACTCGAGCCGAAGGCAGGCCAAAAAACGATCAATAAGGTTCGCCCCGAGGAGGAACGCCATGTCACAAATAAGGCGGGCGTCCTGAAAGACCTAGATGTGGCGATCCAAGCCGGCAGCGCCACCAGAGTCGGACTAGCGTGTAGTGACGATACGCTCAAAGGCGTCAGTCACGTCATATCGGGCTCCGAAGCGATCCTCGAGGAACGCCTGGAAGTCCATGAAGGTCGGAGTCCGACCCGCACGAACGGAGTAAGCATAGAAATTCTCCCAGGCGTCGGAAGGACCGCCACGCAGGCGCATGGAGAGGTGAGCGGCACCCATCAGCTGGAGTGTGCGGGTGGCAGACTTTAGCCACCGAGACACGCGTATGCCTGTACCGACATACAAGGCAATGTCCGTCAAGCGGAGGAGTGGTGGGCCACCGTTTTGGCGGCGAGGAGAACGGGAAGCAGGGGACTGCGCTACGGCTGAATAAGTCGGCGCAGGTCCTGGAGGAGGAGGCGCAGCTGACTGTACGCCCGGGCCGCATGGTGGAGCGGCGGGGGAAACAGCGGCAGGCTGCACGGGAGCTGCGGTAGAAGAGGTCGCAGCAATCGAGGGGATGGGGAGGAGGTAGGATGGGGATGGGTAGGGTGCAGGGCGAGGGAAGCGAGCCTGCATGGAAGGAAGAATAGAGGAACAAGGGGGTGCGCCGAAAGGCGCGGCCACCTGCGAGGGTGGGGGTGGCTGAAGGCGTGAGAGGGCGGATCGGTCCGCAGCTGGGCGATCTCGTCCCCGAAACCTCGAACGTAGGTTGAGCGAGGTGTGGCAGGGGAAGACGTACGAGCGGCGCGAGGCATCCCACAAGGGGGAGAGCCAGATGGTGCTGCGGTCGTGTGAAGAGGAGGGAGAAGTGGGGCACCCGAAAAAGTTGCGACCATGGTAGCGGGTTGTGGTACCGTGGCTGTAGTGACCGGGGTCTGGGCGGGTGCGCCCGTAGACTGAGGGAGGACCTGACTCGTGGCGGTCGTCATGCTAGGGGCGTGGACGGTCACCAAGATGGCCGGGTCGGGGGCAGCGGAGGAGGAAGCTCCACCGTGGGGACCCTGTCGGAGGACGAGGGACCAAGACTGGGAGTCAGGAGATGGAGGACACGCAGCGTCCTCGAGTTGCTGCACGCCGACGGCAAGGGTCGCCACTTGCGCCTGTAAGGGCGCGAGGGTCACAAGTTGCGCCTGGATGGGCACAAGGAGGGAGGTGAGGAGGGTGTGCAGATCTCCCTGGGGCTGGTGGCCCTAGTCCGTCCGCACGGGTGTGGAGCCCTGTGCCGTGGTCGTCGCCGTGTCGGCGGCGTGTGACACACCGTCGGTCATGGGAAGGTGACGGACTAGATTGGAGAAGGCCAGGAGAGGTCCGCGTGAGTGGAGGGCGTAGCGGGGGGTCCGTGGTAGAAAGTGGCGGACGGCGCTAGCAAGGCTAGCGCGGGCGCCGTCAAAGGGGGAGGGGTGGCTCGGGTCCAGGGTGCCCGAAGAGGAAGGGGAAGTAGATCCCTAAGCCCTAGAAAAACCCTAAGAAAACCCTAACCGAAGTTTAAGTGGTTAGGGTAGGGTACCGGTGACCTAATCAAGAAAATAAAATAGCAAGCATAGGGGGGGGGAGGCGGGAGAAAAAAAAATAAAAAGCGAGATTTTAAGAGAAAAACAAAAGAAAATAAACAATAAAAATAATTAAGAGAAGAAGTAAACAAAATGTGGAAAAAAAAATAATATATATATATATATTTTTTAATTTTTTGTAGCATTTCCCTACCCCTCATGGTGTCAAGAATGTGCCAAGGGGAAAGGAGAGACTAAGGTGAGCATACTAGGTTTCAAGATGCCGCAAATAAAAAATAATTTTCAAAAATAAATAAAGAAATAAAAAATAAAGAGATAAATAAATAAATAAATAAGTAAATAAGTGGGTGAGGAGGTAAGGGGAAATGAAGTATCTGATTTGTCAAAAACTTCGGCAGCATTTCGTTACCCCCATGGGGTCGAAGTGTGCCGAGAAGACTAAGTAAGGGAAAATCAGAAAATTTCGCCAGCACTTCGTTACCCCCACGGGGTCAAAACGTGTGCCGAAAGCAAGAAAGACTAACACGTAATCAGATTTAGGGTTGCCGTAAAGAAAGTTGAATTTTGAATTTTCAGAATAAATAGAAAAATAATTTATTAATAAATAAAATAAATCAGAAAATGAGAAAAGAAGGTGGGAAAGAAGATATTTCGAATTTTTGGAAAAAGAAAAAATATAAATCAAAAGGGAGATAGAAAAAAAAAAAACAGAAAAATTCGACGTAGAGGGGGGGGGGGGGGGGGATGAGAAAGTGATGGAGAGAAGAAAGAAATAGGTGGGAGAGAAAAAAGATGGAAGTGGAAGGTGAGGGGATGATGTGGTGGCAGTTGGGGGAGAGGAGGGTGAGAGAATGGGAGAGAATGGGAGAGAACGAGGATGGGAAAGATGGAGAGTGATCAAGAAACTAAGAGGAAAGAAGGAGGAGAGAAAAGAAAAGAAATGAAGAAAAGAGGGTAAGATAGTGGTTAGTGGGAGAAAAGGTGGAGAAGGGAAGGTAAAAAGAGGAGGGGAGAGAGGCAGTGGAAGGTGGGGGAAAGAAAAGGGGAAAGAGAGATGATACCTGGCCCTTGGTGTCCCCAGGGGCGCAAGGTATACCAAGACCAGGAGGGTCTTAGCCTTCGTTTCAGCCAACCAACAGGAGGATGTAAGGGGGGGCTGAGAACTTGATCAGCCCGTAGTTGCAACACTGCAGATCCAGGGTGTACTGTGTGAGCATACCCTGATGGATGATGATGATGATCTAGGGTTGGTTGAGATCTTAATCAGCCACCCTACTGCCACAGTCACACAGCCCCCTGGCCAGGGGGAAATCTTGAGTTGTTGCAAAGCTGCTGCTGCAGCAGTAGAGAGATAGTAAAAAAAAATAATAATGATAATGCTGTGGCGCAGCCCCCTAACCAGGGGGGTCTTCAGTCCACAGCAAAGTGCCACGTGGCACT